ATTAGAACCTATTTTTTCCATAAAAAATTTGAAAAAGTTACATTTCTACTTTATTTCTCTTTGATAACAAATATTTGGTACATAGTGTAGAGGAAAAGTTTTACAAAATTAGCCAAAGCATAAACTCATGAATTCATAAACTATAGTGTGAAAGCTATCTGCATATTATGTTTTGTATCCTGCTAAATACACTCCACAATCCGTTGTGGATATCCTTCCATGTCAATAAATGTGGAGCCAACTATAAAGCAAAAGTCGCCTGAGATTGTACCACCCACTGTCAGAGCTGTATTAAGGGGTGAGACCAGCCAGCTTATTAAAGTTCACACCTAAAATTCTAAGCCTTACAAATTTACTCTGCAGATGCTGTGTCCTTCCAGCTTATGATAAACTGTATCCTAGGAACTCACATGAATAGTTTATGAATGGATTAGGTGGCGATGGGTTTGGGGGGAAGAGAAAAAGGACCCTAAATCATGAAAAGTATTGGGAGTTAGTATTCAGGGGGTAAGAGGGCACTTCAAGAACGGCAGCTGTCACACGTGAATGATATTTTCAGCACGGAATCTTGTGAACAAGAGGTTTTCGCCTGGGGTAAGATAAACAAGGCTCAAGTGGGTTACTCTGGAGCTTGCCCTTAACCCCCAGGAGACGTCCCGACTGAGGAGAAAGCCCTGATGCGAAGAGACATCAGGTCCACCTGAGCCGTGAAACCTGTGGCTAAGGCAGTTTGCCTGCAGGGTTTGGGCAGCAGCCCAGCACAGGACCTCACCGTAGGCGCAATTCCTGCCCTCGTAGCCACGGGGGCAGTTGCACGTGTACCCGCGGATGTTGTCATGACAGGAGCCGTTGTTCAGGCAGGGCTGCGAGACGCACTGGGTGCCACCTATTGGGAGAACAACAGCTGGGAGATGAAAACCTCATGACAGGTGACGAGGCAGGGTGAGTGGGTCTCTAAACTTCTCGGAAATTTTCACCTCTGCCAGCAAATAGACCCTGACCCACCCCTTGGCCCTGCAGACCACTAGGATGCAAGCACGCGGGAAGCCGGG